CTGACATTTCATAGAATAAATAATACAAATAATTTGATCAACCTAGAAAATAATAAACAAATTGATAGTTGCAGCCATAGTTACACCAGAATAGGTAAACTTTGGGCAGACAGGCAGATCCTTAAGCAAGTAAAAACAAATGCTGCTGTCACAACTAGAAAATATGTGACCTAATAAAAAAAAAACAATATGGCCAAAATTATAAATGCACACAAAACAGCATGTGGCACCTAATTTATGCAGTATTTACAGTATGTTATTATAGGTCACAGACATCAGTGTAGCGCCTCCACCTTCACATCCAGAGCTGCATTCTTTCTCTTTCTGGACGATTCCCATACACAAGACAAGAGTGACATGCAGACATGACAGCAGAAGTTACAGTGACTGTTGCAGTCAGTGCACACCCTGGACAGTAATATGGTCTTACTTTTGCAATGCAAATGTGTGCAGTGCTGATAAGGAAAAAAAAACATAAATGAAGATAAGGAATGCAGTACTTACATGAGAAATTATTCTGTGCATGGAAATGTGACTAAACCCACCAGTCAGGGATGTCTTCTGCTGGTTCCCTCTCCATCTGTGTGCGCGAGGACCGCGGAGTGAGTCTCAACGCTCCCTCTCTCTGCCCTTCTCCCTCTCCCTCTCTCTCCCCTTCTCCCTCTCCCTCTCTCCCTCTCTCTCTCTCACACACACACAGTCACACACACACACACACACCTCCCCTTCACCGACTGCCTGCATCCAGATGTGTCAGGCGCTGCCGAGAATCACAGCTCACCAAACTGATTATGAAAAGCATGGCCGCGCTGCATGATAATCCAGATTAAGAGTCCTGCAGCAGCCCCAACAGACGCACACACAAAACTCACCCACACAAAGTCTCCATCCAGAGTGTAAATGCTGTGTAATTGCACAAAACATGGTGACAGCTAAAGTTCAGCCCGAGGGTTAAATAGTGTTATTTTCTAATCTGGTGAGCACACATGCAAAACTGAGGCACTCACTTTATAATCAAGTGCAGCAGTGTCCAAATAACTACTAATTGGGCTCCAGTTGTTTTCCTACTGACTTGATTAATGTGTCCACCGGCAAAGATAAGTATTTTCGTGACAGTGAAAAAAGGAAGAACAGGATAAAAGGATGAATTTCCTTTTCTCGCCCTCCTTCCCTCCCTCCATCTTGGCCTACATAAAACACACCGGAAGCCCTAGAAATGACAATATGAAGAACAGGGCTGAGTGGTGTGCAGGCTGCAGCTGGGGTGAGAGACAATAACCTCCATCCATCACTGACTGGAGGAGATGCTCCTGAATAGCCCGGCTCTCTGGATGCATGACTGACAATATCACCCTCCAGACCACATTAGTACACAACACACTTTCTTACTCTCATTATCTGTTGTCTTATAGTTCGCAGATTTATATCAGTTTCTTTGTGTTTAAGCACGGGAATAAGGGATCCAAGTCCCCAGGGCCACAACATGAGGAGGACCCTGGAGTCAAAAGTACCTTTTAATCTGCAATTTTGAAGTGTTGTTAACAGTGTTGGACAAGTTATTTTCAACATGTAATACTGTCTATATTGTTCTACATCCTCATAATGAAAGTTTCATAGAGTTGTTAAGAAAAGAGGACTATAATATGAAAAGATTTCTCACTGACTGATGACTGCGTGGTCTGGATCCAGGCAGCAGAATCATTAGGTGAAGTGTCTTTTTCTTTATCAAATATCGTAATTGCCTCAAACTCCAGGATCAATGCCTGTGTTGTCAAAAATATTGATTTATCAATATATATTGATTCTGGATGTTCAAAAAGGTTTCAATACTCATTGTTCAGAGTATTGATACAACTGTGCTTTCTTGCTCTCTCTTATTGTTAATGGTTACGACAGTCATTCTGCTATAGCCTTTTCTATATTTATCTTTTAATAAAAACTTAAAAGTTCATGACCTCCGCAAAATTTTCCCCAGAGTATCGAATGTCAATTTTTTTCAAGGTATTATTTAGAGTTAGAAATTCCAGTATTGTGACAGCACTAGAATCTGCGATAAAATGGAGGACAGAAACAACCAGTGTCTTCCCATGACAGAGCTGCAACTGATCAGACACCAGTGGGTCACAGCCCTACCCCACCTAAGGTTGATGGGAATTGTCAAAGCGTTCTCATCCTCATCCTTGACAAATATTGGGCTTTATCAGTGGACTTTCACATCTAAATATGACACACTAGGTACCCTCCTGCATCTGCTGTTGATTTTCTGGGACAGCGTGTCAATTTACGCTTGTTACATGCATTGTGTCTTGTCAAAAAACACTTCCATTGTCATAGAAAATGTACAGTTTCTGTTCCTTAGATGCATATAGTCGTTTGCGAAATATATGTAGGATGAAGGTCAACCACCTCATTTTTACATTTATTTCCTCCTGCAACTATCAGACTGGTACCAACAAAAGAGAGGACTCAAAAACACAAGGACTTTGACGTTTCCAAAAGCTTAGGGCTTACGCAGAATGCATAAAAAATGCAAGATATCAGATCAAAAACTGGAAAACACTGGGAACAAACAGCATGAACATGTGCTCCAAACTACAGAGCCAAACTGGCACAGACAAAGGGCAGCAGGTGGACTAAATGCACAAGGGGAGGAGGGGTAATGAGGGACAGGTGAAACCAATCAGGGCGGGGCAGGTAATCGCCAGGGAAACACACAGGGGCAGGAAGTGAAGTGCCTGAAATGAGAGACAAGAGTGAATGTCAAAATAAAACAGGAAATACTAACAAAACTGAAAACAAGGAAACATGATCTTGATAGGGACTTCAGGGTATAACAGCAACAAAAGCACAAGGTAAGGTTTAGAAAAAAACATAATTTGGCTCTACATTCAGGTAAAATTCCAGGGTGAAAGACTGGCTTCTTCAAGTTCCTTATATCACACCCTTACTGGCAGAGTGCGTTTCATAATACCGTGAAAGGTGCCTTTGTGTGTCGGGGCATTTACACAGAGATCCACTGACGTGAATTCGGTTTTACATCTGGACCTTCCCATCTACGATGGTCTACGATGGGCCTCAGACACTGCCTCGTTGATGACTTCATCCAGAATTATTTTTTTGTCTTGAAGCCTCCTTAAGGAATCTGATCCCGTTTTATTCGGCGGTGGGAACTTCTTGTGACTGCATACCATTGCTGACGTTGACCTCAGCAGGATACGAATCCTTGACCTTCCGCATGGACGACTGGTGCTCTAACCACTACACTAGGGAGGCCCCGCAGACATCCATAGCGGTGATGTTTGATGACTTAGGTTGGTGGCCGCTGTGTCAACGACTTCCACCGGCCAGTGCATTTTATACCATAACACTGGCAATGCCCAGATCACTGACAAAGCAGTGGTATCTGATAAGCTGGGTATGAGAGCGAGCTTAATTTCATAGGTCTGCACCACTAAAATGTACAAATGTCTTATTGACGGACTTTTTTACATGTAAATTGGTTACTAAGAAACACTAAATGTGGAGGTGCAGTTTAGATGAAGTATAGACGAAACAGCAGGCTCCTGGGTGAAAGTCCAGGGTTTGTTTGACCCATCCACCTTCCCTCCTGCCCAGCCTATAGGGCTCCTTATATTACCTTGTCACTGGCAGTGTTACAAACTGACATAATATTTGACGAGTTCAGAACGAAAATGGAACTGAACATGCAGTTCTCAAAGCGGACGATGCTATAGTTGGACCGCCTGCAGCAGTCACTGAAAAGGTCAAACTCATTGTCTTTGGCCTGGCATGTCCTGTGTGCTGTTCAGCCCGGTGTCTGTGTGCAGACCACCTGGTAAAGAGCACCCGAGGTCATGCTGCGTATTTCATTTAATGAGGTCATCAATATGTAGCTGCACAGCTGTCCTCAGGGTACCCGCTCTACCCTGGGGAGATGAACTACAATGTACTCAGCTTCATCGTCGAAACTCTGGGTCAGAGATTTAAGACCCTAGAGCATCATTCTCAGATGTCTCGATGGCATTGAGCAGGTGATGAAGATGAGTGGACACCAGAGAGACCAGCATCTGTTAATAGATCTGGTCAAGAGGATGCTGCAGCTGGATGCAGACCAGGGTATCACACACTTTTCTCACAGCCTCGCTCAGAGGTCCTACCCTGAAAACCTACATAGTGATAGTGGACACTGAGGAGGCTGAGGCAGACGTCAGCTGGCAGCCTGCCTTGTATCACACTGCCAGACCGGAGAGAGTTGTCAGACATCGCAGGAACACAACTACAACTGATATTCAAAAAATTGAGTGTAATGGAAATGGTGGCATTGGGTGTGTCCTGGGGCTCTGAATATAAGTCCAGCACTGTTAAAATTAGACCTGTTATGTAACTAATGAGGGCTATACCATGGCTCCTAATTACCATACTGTATAATTAATATGACCTAATAAAAATATCTGATACCTTTAGACTGAAATGATATGAGCTACTGTAAATCAGCAGTGACAGTGTGCAGGATCCTTTACTCTCAGTTATATATAATGTATCTAAAAAAAATTTTTTTTTAAATTCTTCCTCACATTCTCGTGCTGTAATTCCATTATCATATTAAATCTCCACTGCCCCCTCTGTCCTGGTTTATTACTTTAATTGCTGCTTTACATAAGAATGAAATCCACACTGTATTTGCATAGCATGACTATATTTAGAGTGCAGATATGAGAGGCCTTCTGTGTAAGATATCTCCCTGGCATATGGTATTATAATAATTACGCACACTATTACTTCAGTACATGGGATCATGAAATTGAACGAGCACCGTGGCCGGGAGGGCTTTGTTGCTCCCACTAACCTCACCTCTGTGCATGTCTGGTGTGAGTGAGTGACTGTGGGCAAGTGCGTGTTAGCCACCCCCCCTCAACACACATGCACATGTGCGCGCACACCCATACCTTGCCATCTGTTGACATGCAGCTTCAAAAATAGCCCTCCACCAGAAGCTTCCCTGAGTGGCTGACAGATAAGTAGAGCAGGGGTCTTTGCTTGTGTCAGTGGAAGTTGTTGTGTCTCTGCTGTGACCACGTGTGCCGGAAAAGCCTGAAACCGTTGCAAGACTGATTGGAAAGTTTCAGTAAGTCTGCCTCTGTTTGTTGTGTTTGTTGACAGCTGTCCAACTGGAAATGGAGCCCTTTCCTGACCAGTTCACGGAGTTCCACCCGATCCATGGTACCAATGTCAGACTGGACCACTCAGGGACTAAGGCCACCAGGGTGGAGAGCTTTGCAAACGGAGTGTGTTTCAGCAAACACCCTCTGAGGCCTGGGGAGATTTTTCTCATAGAGATCGAGGATAAGGAGCTGGGCTGGTGTGGCCACCTGCGGGTCGGCTTGACCGCCAGGGACCCCGGGAGCTTAGACGTGGTACCTGAATACTCCATCCCGGACCTGACAGACTCAGGGGACAGCTGGGTATTTGCCATCACTCGCAACCACAACAAGATCATAGAGGATCCTGAAGCGGAGGCTCAAGAGGCTGGAGATGGAGGACTGGGTGGGGGTCAGAGGCTTGGACGAGGGGAGGTTGAAGATGGAGTTGGAGGTGGTGAGAGAGATGAAGGAGGAGGCAACATAAGCAAACCAAAGACTTTTTTCACTGACTCTCACTTGCACATTGGGGATGTTCGCATCCCCAGAGACAAGCTGGTCGGTCGGAGCAGGCCCGGACGCTACAGCCACATATTGGACGACTTGTATAAGACCAACGCTCTGCCTCCCACAGCCAGACGCAGCCGCATCGGAGTACTGTATGTGCCTAAAGGGCGAGGCCTGGCTGACATGCACATTATCATCAATGGTGAGGACATGGGAGCGTCTGCAAAGGGGATCCCCTCCATCCAGCCTCTGCACGCTGTGGTGGACGTCTTTGCTGCTACTAAGTGTGTCCAGATTGTCCAGGTGGAGTATGGATGTGAGTGTCACAGTGATGTATTTAATCATGGATGGATTGTAAAACAAAGGGCCCCTGGGCAGATAATCCAGAACTCGCAGACTCTCAGAGACACGAAAATGACTCAGAGATGTTATATGTATCATTTGTGCACTTCTGTGGTCATCTTGCATCTGTTTGATGTTGCTTTCTTTCTCTCTGAAGTTGCTTTGCGTGTCTTTGTGGTTGTTTTTGTCTGTTTGTGGTCATTTCGAGTCTCTTTGTTGTCACTTTTCATCCTTTGTAGTCATTTTGCAATTCTTTGTCGTCATGTTGCATCTCTCTGACGTTACTTTGTGTCTTTTGAAGTTGATTTGTGTGTCTTCGTTGTTGTTTTGCATCTCTTTGTAGTTGTTTTTTGTTGTCGCCTTTCATCTTTCTATTGTCGTTTTGCATTTCTTTGTGGTCATTTTGCTTCTCGTTGATGTCACTTTATGTCTCTTTGAAGTTGTTTTGTTTCTCTGTGTTTTTTTGCATCTTTTTGTAGTTGTTTCACGTCATCTTGTGGTCATTTTGCATCTCTTTGATGTCATTTTGTGTCTCTTTGAAGTTGTTCTGCCTTTCTTTGAACTTGTTTTGAGTGTTTATGTGGTTGTTTTACATCTCTTTGCAGTTGTTTACAGTCCTCTTTTGATCACTTTGCGTCTATTTGATGTCATTTTGTGTCTTTTGACGTTGTTTTTTGTCTTTTTGAAGTTGTATTGAATGTCTTTGTAGTTATTTTGGGTCTCTTTGAGGTCATTTTGAGTCTTTCTTCAGTCCTTTTGTATCTTTTTGTGGTTGCTTTATGTCTCTCCAGTGGTTGTATGACTCTTTGTGGTCGTCTTGTGTCTTTTTGTGGTCATTTCATCAACTTTCCCGCAAGAACTAAAACTGTCACTATATACATTAATAGGCTCAGGCTCAAGAACCCATTCAGTAATCTATTCATGCTTTTAATAGATATTTCTTCATGATTTCTTCATAATTTCTTTTCTCTACTTTTATTCTGCTCATCCACTGTCTTTTTGTTTCTTGTTCTCTTTCCATGTGCCTTCAGTCTCGTCGTTGCAGACGTTATGTAGGAAGGCCATCCAGAAGCACATTGTCCACAGGATGGCGATCGATTGGCTGGAGCTGCCAGAGGCACTTAAGCACTACTGCAAGTATGAATAAAGGATACAGCCCTGCCATGGACAGAAACACAATATCTGAACTCTCTTCCAGTTTTTAACCTGCCAGACACTGATAGCGCTGACATCATTTGTCTGTAATGACAACTGCTATCTAAAATAAATTCACGGTATTTGTTAGTTTGGCTCTCTGTGTCATTCTGCATCTAATTTCTCCTCACAGTGTCAGCGTCAGGAATAACTGCACTATGACTCATCACTACTTCCTCTCCCACAAGAACAGAGTCACATTACTAACAAGTTACATGATTGTGAAAAGTTACATTGATTTTAATATAATCAACCCTAGTTCACAAAAAGTGAAGCATGTCTTGTCTATTGTATCTTTTTGTGATTTCAAATGATCAGTGCCATTTAACTAGTAAATAACTTAAGTCCTGGTTATCAGAATATGATATGAAAACATGGCTAAGAGTAAAAACAGGCGGACCTGACTGTCAGTGTTGTATTTCTTTGCGCATAGGTGTAGGTTTTGAGAACACTGGATTTGTCTCCCTGAATGAAAACATAAAAATAGTGGAGGACTTTCATTCTGACAAAATTAAAGAAATTTACACCATAAAATAGTGAAAAAAGTCACAAATTGGTCCATAAAAATTCACCAGAAAAGGAAAATTAAGTGTTTGATTGTCAAAAATTTTCTGGGAGAGGACCCCCAACCCATCATTTCATGTGTCCATCCGTGTTTAAGTGAAACCTGCGCCCTTGTTTTTGTGATCTTTAGATTTATTTAATGTCTCAATTTGAACCAATTTTCTCTTAAATCTAGATTAGACAGACTCGTGAATGTTTGTTCAGAAACAAATCATGGAGCTAATAATTTGTCTGTTTTAGGCTGAACTTTCCTTTCAGTGAATACAGGGCTAGTAAATACCTCCTTGGAGTACCATCCATCCACCTGCAGCTCCTGTGGTCAGACACTGACATCTGGTGGTAAATACAGGTAACAGCAGTGGGCGGAGCTCCCGGTAAATCTCCAGCCAGGATCACTTCACACGAGAGGAGGAAAAACAGGAGAGCGTCCGGCCGTTTGAAGACAGACTGAAACAGATAACGGTTTATTTTACCTTCAGCTGCTCCGTGCACACACCACAACATGTCTTTCTGTAAATTCTTTGGCGGTGAGGTCTACAAGGATCATTTCAAACCAGGTGGGCGGGCTGTGGCTGCTGTTCGGTCAGCAGTGAAGTGATGTAACCTGCCTTTAGTCTGGATTATATAGGACAACATTTAGCTACATTTCGTTTATTATGTTGGCTTCACATGAGATTCTTTAATGAAGAATTGTTGTTCAATTATTGTGCAATATCATGGTGATGAGTAGAGAGGAGGGGCACGTGGTGTGACAATACAGTATGTGAGAATATTTCTCTTTTTTACATCATAATAATTAAGGTTTGTAAGATTTAAGTGAGCTGTAAAACAGAAATAGTAATAATAATAATAATAATAAAGCTGTTAGTCATGATTACTGTAAAAATACAACAGTAATATAATTTTGTTTCATATTTAAAACCAACTAGCCATAGTCTTGTGGTATATTTAAGTAAAATGACCCTATTACAGTGTTTCTAACCTTTTTTATTTTATTTTTTGGCCTGTGACCTCTTATGATAAACCATTTTGGACCCCATCATCACATGTTATGGCCTTTGTGTTGACAAGTTTTCAGCTCTTCAACCAAAGACTGATTTTCCCCTCCTCAGGGGGGAATTGAAGTTTAATTTTAATTTTATTTTATTTTTATATACTTTATTAATCCTAAAGGGGAAATTCAGTAATTTAGTATTGTTATTATTCACTTATTCAGTCAGCAATCATTCAGTAGAGATAAATGTATTGAGTATTACAAAGAAAGAAAAGCATATTTAAGAAAAATTGGACCTAATTGGCCTATTAAATTTTTATTAGTAAATGTGGGACACAGCTATTTTCTGGTCCTTCAAAGGTCACAGAGACTGTAGCATAAAATAAACTTTTTTGGTGAGGGTAGACTGTAAACCTTTTGTATTGTAAAACTGTGTCACATAGAGATATTGAAAATGTGTTACTCTCAGTTAATAGTCATAGGAATCAGCTACAGTTTGATCTAAGTTTATAAGTGTGTGATCAGTGAGGGGAGCTGGCTAACATAATTTTATCATTAAGTTGGATGAGATGTGTGCACTGTTGGTTGGCACCAAAGAAATAGAATGAGAATTTTATTTTATTTTTATTTCTATGGTTGGCACATGTGCTATCAAATTTTAACAGTAACAGCTGCAACTGTAACTGTATTTTAAGATATTAAGACTACATTAAAAGATTTTAAAAAATACATTTATATTGTTTTTTTATATTTTAGATTGTTTATATTGTTTTTTATTTTTTATTATTATTTTGAATAATAATAAAAATTAAAAACGATATAAATATATTTTTATTATATTGTTATATGTATATATTATATTAATTATTATTAAATAAAATCTATAATTATTATTTAAATATTCCTACCCATGAATTGCTTGAAAATATTTGTTGCTGTTTTTTTAAATGAGGAGATATTCTATTAAATGTTCATGTTTTCTGGATCTTGTTCGATTAATTTTTAACAGTGTCAAGCAACCCTGTGATTTGGCTGGTTGGCACAATGTGACTTTAATGACGAATCATCTAATTTTATAAAGCTTTTCTGTACATTAAACACACATTATATATATATACATATATATATATATATATATATATATATATATATACATTTATATAGCCTAGACCTTTACCTTCCATTTGCTGCTGGTTAAAATATTCTATCACAATTTATGCCAGAGGAATATGGAGAGTGAAAAGCATGCCCCAGTCTCCCCTCTGTGTCTCAGGTATGATATGAAAAAAATGCAACAACTGTTAAAACTAACTGTTCCTGCAGGTATATATGTGTGCTCCAACTGTAACCATCCACTGTTCGCCAGTCGGTCCAAGTTCGCCCACTCGTCTCCCTGGCCGGCTTTCACAGAGACCATCAGAGAGGACAGTGTCACCAAGATGATGGAGACTCTCACTGCCTACAAGGTCAGGGTCTTCTGAACCCTGATTGTTTCACTGCTGCTGCATCGGTCACATGGTTTTAATTGGCACCTGTTCCATCAGGATGTGACCCAGGAAGTTGATGTGACTGTGCTTCATGTACGCAGGTTCTGTGTGGCAAGTGTGGCAACGGGCTAGGCCACGAGTTTGTAAATGACGGCCCAGAGGAAGGAGTGTCACGGTTTTGAATATTCAGTCACTCGCTCAAGTTTGTCCCCAACAAAGGTAAGAGGAACACAGGCATGGGTGAGGCATCGGCAGGTGTGCAGGCCAGAGGTGTTTAAGCACTACTGTCTCTGAAGAGAGCATCGACAAGTTTTACTTCAAATTCAGTTACCTGTCAGAAAGGGTTGCCTGTCCTCTGTGAATTCAACATAACATGAGATGAGTAATTGATATACAAATGGTCATTCGGGAAATATTCCTTTAATACCCAGGGTAGTATTTTTAGACAAAAGTAGAAAATAAGGAGAACCCTCCAAAGTGAGTCACACTGTAGTTCATTTCAAGCTAATGTAAACTCACAGAGTGCCAAATGTGTGATAATCAAAAGCAGTGCACACTTTACAGAGACATCTTCCCACTGTCTAATTGAAGTGATGACTGAAAATGACCAAAAAATAAAAAGTAAAATCACAATACAGAACACATAAGTTCAGACGACCAAATATAAAACACAGAATTTCTCCACTTGTGCTGCTTTTCTTTGGTGTCTCTGGTAAAGAAGGAGCAGCGGCCTCTGCTGGTGAGTGTTGATAATGAAAAGCTTACAGCACCGGGTATTCCCAGGCGGTCTCCCATCCAAGTACTGACCCGGCCCGACCCTGCTTAGCTTCCGAGATCGGACGAGATCGGGCGTATTCAGGGTGGTATGGCCGTAAGCGAGAAAAACAGATGCACACAAACTATTTAATGATGGTAAAGCAACACTTATGGTTCGAAAAGCTGTTAGTTTTTGTGTAATTGTGAATCTACATTTTTCTGACTTCATATATGTATTTCTCTTTTGTCTCCATCCCAGGTAAGGACAAGCAGTAAAGAGCGAGCTATGACTTTCCACTCCAGCTGCTGTATCTGCTGCTCGGTCCAGGAACTGTGATCAGGTCGGGTCAGTGGGTGACGTGAACGGGAGAAAGGCCTGAGAAGGACGTCCTGTCCACTGAAGAATCTTTGACCAGCCTGTGACACAGTGACAAGACCACACCTCTGCAATATCTTACATTCCTTCATTACCTCATATTTAAACACACATTAACTTATTATTATGTCACTTCTAATACAGTGTGTCAGCAGATGGCACTTTAGCAACAATTCAGTTTTTTCGGACACAGAAAGATGCAACAACATCATCTTTTTCACTGTCACTTAAATTTCACATTACTGCTGGTATCATTTACTCCCATTCACCTCCTTAAGGTAAATAGAACCATAATATCTATGCACCGAAGAAGTCCACCTTCCTTGTCAGTCTGCACTCTCTGTGGCTCTTTGTATGTTTATTTCAAGATTATTCAACAGCAATGAAACTAACTGCATTTATCAGCTACATTTTTTTCATATTTTTCATGTACTGTAAGCAGGTTTACTTGAACAGATACAAACAATAAATTATAGTTTAACAGAGTTTTGCCTTTCATGATTTCTTTGCAGTTGTGGCACCTTGAGTACAGCAGGCTACTGAAGTACAATTTTGTACATTGCTTGACTGTTTCTACTTTATGTTAGGCTACTTTATACTTCCAATTCAAAACAATTCAGAGGGAAATATGATGCTGTTTTGCTTTATTACATTTCTCTGACAGCTAAAGTCAGTTTACCAATTGGGATTTTACATTTAAAACATATGATGAGCAGATTTAACTACCCTCTTTGTTACCATCAGTGTGTTAATAAATGGTGAACTAAGTGAAAAACATGCCCTCTAGTAAGTTTACATTTACCTCAAATGAACTACAGTGTGTGTGTTCGTGTGTTTTAATTCATGGGTGGTTTTTGTGTTTTCATGAGATTTGTTGACTTAATTAAATTAGATTATTGTTAGCCATATTTAACAGCTTTTCGAACCATAAGTGTTGCTTTACCATCTTTAAATAGTTTGTGTGCATCTGTTTTTCTCGCTTACGGCCATACCACCCTGAATACGCCCGATCTCGTCCGATCTCGGAAGCTAAGCAGGGTCGGGCCGGGTCAGTACTTGGATGGGAGACCGCCTGGGAATACCCGGTGCTGTAAGCTTTTCATTATCAACACTCACCAGCAGAGGCCGCTCTTCCTCCTTTACTACAGACACGACCTTGAAAAGCAGCACCACTGGAGAAATTCTACATGTCTTTTACTTGGCCGTCTGAACTTTATGTGTTCTGTATTGTGATTTTACTTTTTATATTTTCGTCATTTTCAGTAATCACTTTAATTAGACAGTGGGAAGATGTCTTTGACATAAATATGTTAGTTAAGCACATATTTCACACATACAGAATAAACTGCAGTGGTGGGACCTATCTTAATACCTTTATTTAAGTTTCATGTAACTTGCTATAAATATTCTGCTGATTATTCTTATTATTGGGGTTCTTTCACGTAAAATAAGAGGGGGGGTGTTACAATCATTGGTGCACAAAGCACAAATGAAATTCCATTCCTCTCCATTCCTCTGTAGTTAGAGCAACAAAGTGGCAGAGGCCTTAAAAACAAAACTCCAGTATGTGCATGGCTAAATATGACTGGGAGTGTGTGGAACAACATAAGTATCATAACAACAACAGTACTCATTATGCCACATGATCTCTTTCATAGCAATTTATACTGCAGTATATTAAAGGATTATTATCATCATCACCACAAACTGGATGGCTGCATCGGCAAAATGAAAAAAGTATTTTTCAGTTTTTAAAAAAATGCAAAATATAATTTAAAAAATATATTTTTTTCTTCATTAGGAGATGTGTTTTACTTTTTATATATAATAAAGCTGAAGGACTAAATTCTAAACCCAAATGGCTTGATTTGAGGGACTATCACTAAACTGACATCTCATAAGCAGATCGCTTTATTTTTCTTTTCTTTTTTTTATAGTTAAATAACCTCAATAATAAGAATAATTAGCAGAATATTTATAAGTAAGTTACATAAAATGTAAATAAATGTATTAAGATAGGTCCCACCACTGCATTTTGGGTGAATGTAAACTCACAGAGTGCCAAATGTGTGATAATCAAAAGCAGTGCACACTTTACAGAGACATCTTCCCACTGTCTAATTAAAGTGATCCCTGAAAATGACAAAAAATAAAAAGTAAAATCACAATACAGAACACATAAAGTTCAGACGGCCAAGTAAAAGACATGTAGAATTTCTCCAGTGGTGCTGGTTTTCAAAGTGGTGTCTGTGGTAAAGAAGGAGCAGCGGCCTCTGCTGGTGAGTGTTGATAATGAAAAGCTTACAGCACCGGGTATTCCCAGGCGGTCTCCCATCCAAGTACTGACCCGGCCCGACCCTGCTTAGCTTCCGAGATCGGACGAGATCGGGCGTATTCAGGGTGGTATGGCCGTAAGCGGGAAAAACTGATGCACACAAACTATTTAAAGATGGTAAAGCAACACTTATGGTTCGAAAAGCTGTTAAATATGGCTAACAATAATCTAATTTAATAAAGTCAACAAATCTCATGAAAACACCAAAACCACCCATGAATTAAAACACACGAACACACACACTGTAGTTCATTTGAAGTAAATGTAATCTTACTAGAGGGCGTGTTTTTCACTGAATGTGTTCTGTATTGTGATTTTACTTTTTATATTTTCGTCATTTTCAGTAATCACTTTAATTAGACAGTGGGAAGATGTCTTTGACATAAATATGTTAGTTAAGCACATATTTCACACATCTAGAATAAAATGCAGTGGTGGGACCTATCTTAATACATTTATTTATAAACACGCCCTCTAGTAAGATTACATTTACTTCAAATGAACTACAGTGTGTGTGTTCGTGTGTTTTAATTCATGGGTGGTTTTGGTGTTTTCATGAGATTTGTTGACTTTATTAAATTAGATTATTGTTAGCCATATTTAACAGCTTTTCGAACCATAAGTGTTGCTTTACCATCTTTAAATAGTTTGTGTGCATCAGTTTTTCTCGCTTACGGCCATACCACCCTGAATACGCCCGATCTCGTCCGATCTCGGAAGCTAAGCAGGGTCGGGCCGGGTCAGTACTTGGATGGGAGACCGCCTGGGAATACCCGGTGCTGTAAGCTTTTCATTATCAACACTCACCAGCAGAGGGCGCCGCTCCTTCTTTACCACAGACACCACTTTGAAAACCAGCACCACTGGAGAAATTGTGTTTTTTATTTGGTAGTCTGAACTTATGTGTTCTGTATTGTGATTTTACTTTTTATTTTTTGTCATTTTCAGGGATCACTTTAATTAGACAGTGGGAAGATGTCTCTGTAAAGTGTGCACTGCTTTTGATTATCACACATTTGGCACTCTGTGAGTTTACATTCACCCAAAATGCAGTGGTGGGACCTATCTTAATACATTTATTTACATTTTATGTAACTTACTTATAAATATTCTGCTAATTATTCTTATTATTGAGGTTATTTAACTATAAAAAAAAAAAAGAAAAGAAAAATAAAGCGATCTGCTTATGAGATGTCAGTTTAGTGATAGTCCCTCAAATCAAGTCATTTGGGTTTAGAATTTAGTCCTTCAGCTTTATTATATATAAAAAGTAAAACACATCTCCTAATGAAGAAAAAAAAAATATTTTTTTAAATTATATTTTGCATTTTTTTAAAAACTGAAAAATACTTTTTTCATTTTGCCGATGCAGCCATCCAGTTTGTGGTGATGATGATAATAATCCTTTAATATACTGCAGTATAAATTGCTATGAAAGAGATCATGTGGCATAATGAGTACTGTTGTTGTTATGATACTTGTGTATTTTAACATTAAAGTTAGCTGGTGAATGGGCCACCCAGCATCACCTGGTAGAGCAGGTGCCCCATGTACAAAGGCTGTGTCCTTGCTGCAGTGGCCGTAGGTTCAAGTTCAACCTGTGGCCCTTTGCTGCATGTGGTCACCACTCTCTTCCCCTTTCACACTCATCCTGTCCCATCTAATAAAGGCAAAAAAAGTCATGTAATAATCTTGTTTAAAAAATAGTCCAGGGGCCAAGGGGCTAATTTTCACAAATTGGTATCGTTTAAAGGGACCAAACAATTTTGGTATTTTTGACTTCCTCTATGTCTCTAGTTTACATTTTGGTATGATAGACCTGCCTATCTAGTAGCTTAATAAAAAAAAATTGGATGGTCTTTGGGTCCTCCCCAAAATTGAAAATAGTCAAAACTGAGACTTCTCCAAAAGGGACGGTGTCTGCCTTATCACATGAATCTCTGGAAATAATTATCAGAATGTCACTAAATTTGGACTGAATGTTCACAGACAGTTGCTGCACACAATGCAGCAAAGATTTCATCAGCACCTTGCTCCTTTTAAAAAATGTATACACCTAAACACACATGAATTATAGGCGGACATGGAATAAGGAATGAAAAATCCAAAAGGCATGTATATATGTGTTTGCCATGATTAATGTAAATAAGCCAATCACCCCAAAATTGCATTTATATGTACCAAAGAATGTTATGTTATCATAAAAGTAGGTTATTAGATTATTCACCTCACCATCTGATGTCACCAGCCCCTGACAGGTAACTAGTGCAGCCAGAACTTCAAACAGACAAATAAAATGGGGCCCTATACCACTTATTAAAAAAAAGTTAGACAAAAAGATGCAAACCGAAGTCAAAATACATTAAAAAAACACACACACACCAAAAAAAGAAAGAAATTTGTATTTAATCGAATTGATTTAAGTTGTTATTTGGTATTTTGGAGTGCTGTCTTTCAATTATAAACCAAATGAACAGAGGTGCAGCTCAGGATGTATATACAGGATGCCATGATGAATCAGACCAGCAATATGATCCAGTATGTATTGAACTTTGTATACAACCGAGAAAAAAGGAGATGGAGATGAGCTTTTCATGTATTTAATCTTTGTTGACAATTGTGTATTGAATGTACTGTATATTGTATCAGGAACTTGGCTGTGAAAGAGAAAGAACTGTTAGTTATGTGTGAGGAGGCGTTCGTTAAGACCATAAGGTTGTCTGCTATTGAGTTACCTGATCCAGGTTCCCTCCGCTCTCCTCCTTTGACCAGGAGTCCAGTTGGGGTTGCTTTCCACACCAAAGATGATTAGATGTGGAATCGGATGTATTTGGAAATGCTGAACCAAAGGGGTCTCAGATTCACCCTTCCTGATGCTGTACAGGGATTATAAATTTAAGACCTCGCCAGCAGTTTCCGGGGTCCAGTGGATATTGTCCTGGGTGGTCCTGAAAAGATGCTGTGGAAGTGGTTGATGAGGTAAGTGTGAAAGGATGTAATCATTAATGGTTGTTAAATTCTGACGTTGTTCTGGGAGGAAGGTGTGTTGAAAAATTGATGATGGGAAATTTGATTTCAGCATTAGGAAAGGTGAATGTGGCTTTCCTATAGACTGCTCTTAATTGTTTAATGGATGTGTTATGTGGGTCCTGGTCTCTTTTATTTATGCCCATAGAGAGGAGCCAGGGGAGGGGGGACAGAGGAAGAGAGTCTCCGTACTCTGCTTCTCCGATCTCTGTCCCGGGGTGGGAGAGCTTCCATTTCCTGCCTTGTCCCTGTGAGCATCCCACTTTGTTCTGTTGTAGGTCTGTTGCACTCAGGGGCCAGTTGGGGATGCCCCCTGTTGGGCAGGGCAGGAAACTGTGCATGGTCCCCCAGGTTCAATTTCTCTCCCCCTGTGTGGCCCTGAAGTCTGTTGCTGAGTACTTCAGGGTCCACTGGCTGTGAAAAGGAACGTGAAGGTGAGTACATGGAATGTTCAGAGGAGGGAGAGGAAGAGCGAGAACATTGTGGTGATGAAGTGGAAGATGATGATTGACTGAAAGTGTGGAAGAGAAGTGAGCGGGTTCTGTTTATGGTTTCAGGGTCCAATCTGGCTCATTATTGTTTTTGGGCCCAGTTAGCCACTTCGCTAAGAGCGAGTTGGTTACCCTGCATGTTGGTGAGTGTGGTGATGGTGGCTGTGTAGTGTTCTTGTAGTGTATGTGTGTTTTATCAGTTCTGGTAGGCCTGTGTATAATTCTGTCCCTGCTTCTGCCTCGTCTAGGAGGATTATGAGGAGGCCTATGGTGTTCAGCTGTGGGCCTACTCCACTCTCCTTGGCCTCGCCCATACTGGTGTCTGTCAACCCCCACCATTGTACCACCCGTGTGTGAGCGTCCCACCTGAGTCCAGCTGCTGCTGCTGTGATGCTCCGGCCTCCAGTGTGGTCCGGCCTGTCTGGCCATGTGGTCTCTGGAGGTGTTGTAAGACATTCCTTGGGATGTGCAGGTTATGTCCAGCCAACAGCATAAAAAGTTTGCTTGTGTGCCTCCAACCTGGTCTGTGTCCTACCCCGGGATGCGGGGTGTTTATGGAGATATATTTGTGTCTTTATTACATGCGAGAAAATAAATGAGAGGGAAAAAAATGTTTGAGAGAAAAAGTTTTCACACTGATAGCAAAAAATAATATTTGAGACTAAAAAAAGTTTTGAGAGAAAGTATTTTGTCATAGAATCTAAAAAAAAAAAAAATTGAGATTTAAAAAATGATTTCCAAGAAAAAAAAAAACTCTCAAACCTTGTTTTTTTACTCTCAAATATTATTTTTTTTGCCATCAGTGTGAAAACATTTTCTCTCAAAAAACAAACAAACAAAAAAAAATGTTTCTCTCAAAACATTTTTCTTCTCTCTCTCAAAACCTAAGTCTTTGCTCTCGTGTCAGGATTTTGCTCTCACTGTGAAAATAATGTCATGGGCGGGGCCACGTTCCTATTGGCCAGTCTCAATCGAATTGACAGCTGGGTGAGAATCATCTTGGGAGTCGAATTCAACTGAATCATTCATCCACCATGGTGGATTCACCGGCATAGATGTGCTGCGTTATTTGGGAGCGGATATGTATATATGTTATGCATGTGTGACCAAATGGAGAGGAGAGGGAAATGAACCTACAACACCACCTGTGGAACTGCACCCCAGGGAATACACTCAAACCTGTAGACTACTCTCAACAGAAGGTCACACAGATTGGTACACTGGTAAATATGGGGACAGGAGATGGACTTCCAAATATAACACAGAGGTCCAAAGCTGCATGAATGCACAGCCGCGTTACAGTGTGCTTTAATCCGTAGTGGAAAACGGAGCGGCCGCACCGGGGCTGCAGGCCATGGATAGCCGTCCTTCAGGATGCCCAGCTGACGGCCCACATCACCGTGCAGCCCCGCACTGTGTGGGGCTGCACTGTGTGGGGCTGCACATCACCGTGCAGCCCCACACAGTGCGCAGAGGAGGAGAAGAAGCCACAAGCTGTGGCCTCAGCTACAGCAGGACAGAGAGCAGGACAACCTGTTAACATAAAGTTAATAGAACTGGCAGAAGTAGAAATAAAAAAACATAGCGTGCTTACCGGAGCGAAGGGAGCTTAAGCACAGCGCACAGCTCAAACCCAGTCACCGTCTCGCAGTGAGGAAGAGCAGACACCGCGCTTTTCAAAGTCCTCTCCGAAGCTGCACACAACAGGAACGGCCAACACCGCTGTAAAGTGAAGAGTCACGGCAGCTGTGACACCATAATACGCTTTAACAGTACACAAACATTGCAGCACCTATGCCTACCTTATGAGTTCCAAGTTTGGGTACAGAAACCGGAGCACGTCACACACAACCCTCGCCAGGTAGAAGTGAGCGCGCCCGTGAGGGGAAGACCAAATAACGCAGGTGCCACCACTGCGCAATTAGGCTCCGACAACTGGAAATTAGACCCAGCTGATGCCAATTAAGGGCGGAGGTGTAGCAGCGCTCACCCTGCCACACATGGAATGTTGGAAAAGAAAAGCACCGTAGTAAAGTAACGTTAATGGGATAACCTAGCTAGATGTAAAGTGAACACTAGCTGGCTAGTGCAGTTAAAGGGCCAGTGTGTAAAATGGGTTGAAAACAGTGACATCAGTGGTCAAATTCTAGTTTGCAGGGCTCACTCGCTCACCCCTCCCGTCGGGTAAATGACGGTGGCCTCGTAGGGACAAAAAGCCTTGCGCACGACTTTTTCAGGAGTAGGTCTATCTAGCGACAAGGTGAATGTTTATTTAGAAATCTAAACCATGTTACGATATTGTAATGAATCCCTCACGAGCAGGAGACCAGAGGAGCGTTCGGGAAAAAGGCCCGTTTATTTGAGCACTCCAGAAACTC